CGAATAGTGGGCATCCTGCCCAATTTTGGTCAACAGATAATTGAAGGTGACTCCCCAGTGGCCAGTCATCAACAGCATTGACTCAAGCATTGATAACATGAATCTATCATGTCACCTATGACTCAAGAAAAAAATGAAAAATGAACACTTTTTGTTGCAAATTACAAATGTATCTTGTCTGGAAGCACGCAGTGCAGAAGCGGAGGTAACTATCGGGTTCCTCAAAGCAATTCATGAGCTTCTTAGTGTGTTTTTTTTTTTTGCGTATCAGTATTCTTTGCAAGATGTATCTCCCGTTTGCTGACTCTGCAGCGAAAAGGCAAGCTCGAAAGGTGGCTTAGCGCGAGTTTTTGGCCGCTTTATCGAAGATCTAGAAGATGTCATTGAACAACATGTTACCGTAAAGGAATTGTGGGCGTTACACGTTGACCCTAAGGGCGTGACCGAGTTGCGCAAATGGAAGCACACCGAGTAGCGGCCACCATGAATACAACGAGGTGAAATTAGTCGGGGAAGGTGATAAAGTGGTTGCATTTTGGGATGATGACAGGGCTCTGCTTGTCACTTTTCTTTTCTATAACAGGGGCGCACAATTGATGCTGTGCGTCCATTCGATAGACATCGAGGAGAGGTGCTATAGGGAAGCTGACATAAAGAGTGCACCTGATCCACGACCACGCACCTGCGTACAGCCCTCTGCAAACTGCGTGGTAGGTATTCTTTTTTTTCGACAAAACCGACAATAACGCGAATACTATGCCATCGGTCACTCGGAAATCGTAACAGTGACGCGCGAGACTTCGCACCTTATATTGGCATTATCATCGTGTTCATTTTCTATCCAGTTTGGTAACAAAATCCAAAAGTTTATATTTGCCCCCAAAACAGACTTTTGCATTTTGTTGCCACACAAGGCGTATACTTTGTCTAGTGATGGACCTAATCGAAGAAGTGGAGCATGGCGCATCTATTTGCAGTGAGTTCCGACCGACTGATAATATAGCCTTTGAGTTATCACCGGTTTTGTCGAAAAAAGAATACCTACCACGCAGTCTGCTGAGGGCTGTACATACATAAGCGGGGTGACGATCAGTGAAGCGGTGAGCTGTGGCTTCGAGTTGTTACTTGTTGCATCCACTTTTGTCTCCGAACCTTGCACCCTCTGGTTGCCACCTCTTCCCCAACATAAGGAAATTAGCAGTGGCAACTTCACTGACAGCAGGGAGACGAAAGCAGCCATCTTGTACGTGCAGGATGGGTCCAAAACCCACTTGATTATGGAGACCTTGAGGGCTCTCGCGAAACGCTGCGCGAAATGTGCTTGCCTTACCGCTGGTTATTCGGATAAATGAGTTTTTTGGACTAATAAGTCGATGCTGTATCTCTCTGCTCCTTCATGGTCGGGCCCGTAACTTCTGAACGCTCCTAGTACTGTCATTCTTTTATTTTGGCAAGCAGGTCTTTCTAACTATCGTGGTGTTTCGAGACCTCGTTAGTTGTCGAACCCTTCAATTGGCACCGGGTCTTCAAAGCCATCCCGGCCCCGCAGCCGTCTTTTTTAGTCAGCTTGGGCCCTCAAAGCCGTTCCTGGCCCCTTTCAGCACAGCCGTCCTTTTAAGTCGGCGTGGGCCTCTTTCAGAATGGCGTGCATTCCTCAGACACTATTGCTTATACATATAACTGCACATTTTGTGCATGGGGCTCGGTGAGGACCTAGACTTCCAAAGTTTTTTTTTTTTTCTTTTTTAGATTTTGGTTTGTCTTGTCAATGGCCAGGGCGAAAAATAAGTGGCCGAAATCCGATGAGAAAGGCAGATTTGGGGGTACCCTACCTTGTAAGCCCCGTCACATAAGGCCGGCCGCCGCCTTTGGGCCCTACCAATCATTTTCGGAAAACGACACCCCTGGGTTGGGCGGTGAAGTCTATGACGTGATCGCAATGAAAATGGCTTAGTTTTGTAGAACATTGAATTCTGATTCCGGCACGACTCTCGCTAGTCCATTTTTTATTATAAATAAACCATTAGTTGCGGTACAAAGTCAAAACTAGCCCGAAACGGCGCCCGCAGCGGCCGTTAGCACAGTGGCCTTATGGTAAACAGGTTAGTTCACATTCCCGCCGCTATGCGAGCGGCGGCGGCGCCACCTGTCCTCATGTCCGCCTTGGACCGTAACGCAAATAGCTGAGCCATTGTATGCGGACTTCGGTTGAAGGTAATGGACGAAATGGTACAGGCAAGTGATTTGGAAACGACAATAGCCGGGTTAATGGCTTGAACTAGATAAAGTGTGATTGAAATGACGTTAATGGCAATTGTTAATGATCAAATCACTTGCAATCTAGTTACCTACTTCTAATTGTTTCTATACCATATGATTCGGATATCATTAACATACTAAAAAAAAGTAAGTCGATAACAGTAGATATTATCTGTAATTAATGCAAATACGATGCTATCAAAAATTATGTCTGATTGCTAGAAATAAGAATAACGTCACTCGCCTGCGACAATGCAGATCCAAGCGATGAACTTCTTTCGCGAGACAAAGGCTGCGATGAGATCCGCCCCGAAAGTTGAGCGTTGACTTCACACGATAGTGGGCGCGGCTTGTGTGCCCACACTAACCATTATAGCACAAACCCACTGAATTGAGTTTAGCATAACTTTGTCAGCCTAAAGGTCAATGGACAATATCCTAAACTAACAGACTTTCGCCGTGAACTATTGCGTTGCGTGGCGAGTTTCATGCAGAGAAAATGACAAGAGAATTGCATTCGAGTGGCGGTACCTACGATGACCATCAAGCCTTGCATGCCAACTAGAGTAGAACCGCTAAAATATCGCGAGGGTGACATATGCACGGATATCAGCGCACGATCACGCGCACATTCGTAACCAGGAACAAGTACCGAGACGCATAAAGTGCTGCGCAATCAACCACGGTAATGACACCCATTAGGGCGGTAAATTACACTGGAGTAACCCGCACCGGAAGGGTAGTTAACACACTGCGGTATAGGGTTACACCTCGTGTTACGGGTCATTGGCCGATCGTTCGTTCGTTGTCCCTCTCGTGATAAACTCTGCTGTCAAGACAAAGTAACGATCCATATGGGCGATACAGTGGCCTGAGCACGCACACCACCCAGCAACACTGGAACAGTAGGCAGGAGCGGTGCTCGATGTGGCATACGGAGGTGAAACTTCATGCTAATGGTGCTGATGCTATTGTTTTTTATTAGAACCATTGATGATGGTAAATTTGTTCTAATATTTACCTTTATTCGTATTTACTTCTACAGATTTCTTACTTTTCGTGTTTTTTTTTTCAGCCGCAATGCATGAATTCATATTGTATGTATGAACCTGTCTCATATGCCATGTCATATCTTTCATTGTTTGTATGTCTGGTGTACTTTATTTCCCGGACTTATCCTATTAAAATGGATAATTCCTCTGTTGGTGATCATGACAAATAAACAAATAAACAAACAAACATGACTTTGATGAGCTTTGAAATGCATGGAATCTATACCCAGTGCATCTTGATTTGAACTTACGTAAGGCGCATGCATGAAGGAAGGTTTGAGGCATGAATGATCTGTGGACGAATGAATGCTAGATATCCTCTCGTGCCAAAGGTCATGCAATAATAATCCAATGAAAATTATCGTTAACTGATCTATAAGCAATGCTTACCATGAAATAGGGTTTACAGTTATCCCTTTAGTGAAAAAAAATATATGAAAAGGGTGGTGCTGGATTTAGAGCTGTCACACAACTCGTACAAATTGAAACCAGAGTTCACCGAAATAACCAAAGCAGGCTTGGTGAATTATGTTCCCACTTACTGCAAACTTCTGCATCGAAATCACAGAGTGTTGAGATAATTGCAACCGATATTCCACTGAAATTTTTTTTTAAATTCATGACCTGGTGGTAGTGGAAGCAAAATTGGCAACTTTCACGTGCTTCCAAAATGCAACATAGGTATTTTGCGGCTACATTAACCCTAGAACGCCTAGGGGGGGGGGGTTGTATCAACCCCCCCCCCCCTGAGGTTTTTTCGAAGTGCACGCTAAACGGCTTGTCGTAGCGGGCTGAAATTTTCCATACCCTCTGGGGCAACCTTTGCGCATCTTTTGCCGAAAAAAATTTGATCGGGTCATGTCAGGTCACGGAGTTATGACGTCATAAGAGGTACAGCCTCCGGCCGGATTTTCACAAACTGAGTGCCAACGCCCGAGGTTTCCTGCCGGTGGTACGGACATCGGTTGATGGATGGGCGTCCGGTACTATTTTTGAAAAGCGCCCGAACCACTATTTTGCTAATTCTTGTCACCTTAATGGGAATATGCAGCAATATTAGCTTCTATAGGGAGCAAATGGACCTACCAAATCCAAAAATACAATCAGATTTCAAAAATTTAAATTTTGATTTTTCGAATTTCTGCCGCCGACTGTGACCTTGCCGACTTCCGGCGCTCCCAACGCGCCATTTTTAGAGCTAGGGAAACGAAATACATACCAAACGATAGAAAATTGATCAAGGAACACGATAGTGAAGGTTTCAAGTCGATATTACCCACCGTTTTGCCACAATCGCCACCGAAAGTTGAAAAAAGTCTATTTTTCCGAAAATTTGACCTTTGACCGGTCAAAAGTAGGTCAAATGTTGACCTAGGACCAAAAAATATACCACCAATCGCGAGATCTCGTTGAGAGCAATCCGTTGGTTTTTTCCGCTAAGCTCTACGACCTTCCGTTTCGAAACGCCAGGGGGGGGGGTCGTAACAACCCCCCCCCCCCCCCTGGTCGTTCGTGTTATGAGAAATGGCCTGGTCGTGCGAGGGTTAAGAAAACATTTTTCACATTTTTCCACACACAACCTGTCACTCAAATATCAGTGCTTGGTGGCTGGCGCCTGACGGTATGTAAGTGCCTCCCCCTCCCCATTGTTGTTGCTCATTCCCCGCTCATTTACCCAAATCTACTCACCAATGACGGTGAGATTGACGCGTGAGTTTCTGGTGGGCGACTGTAGAAAGTCGACTCGACACCGGTACAACTGCTGATCGCTGGCCTTCACCTGGCTGATAACCAGCGCCGCGCCCTTGGAGCCCAGTCGGAAGGTGACCCTGGTCCTGTCGACGGCCGGGTCAGACCAGTGGGACCCGCTGCCGTCAGCGGGGCCGCCGGTCACTGACGAACGGCTGTCGTACCTGTGGGGAGGGGTAGGTCAGTGGGAGAGAGAGAGAGAGAGGGAGAGAGAAGGAGTGAGAGAGAGAGGGGGGAAGAGAGAGAGAGAGAGAGGGGGGGAGACAGAGGAACGTTTTTAGAAAGGGAGGTGCCTGAGAGAAGCGACAGTGCTCTTCATAAATGCCTAATAGTTACAATGTATCGTGCAATTAAATTCACGCATTAGTGTTTTAGATTGACTGTGATATGTTTTATGATATATTCTATAGGAAACATACAAATTTTAAAAGCTATCTATGCAAACTTTATTAACCTGGCCTGATCATGTAGAAATTGGTCATATGCAGTTAAGAGCAAACAAGTCCTTACGGTTCGCGAACATCGTCTGACAGATATATCAAATTCAAATTTTCATCACGCTCAATGGCTGGCCGACGGAACACTGGCCGCCCACCAAAGGTCAAAGAGACACAGCGAGACATCAGCACAATGGCAGATACATCGTCGGATTCGGACCGTTAGAGGCATGAATGTGAAACTTGTACATACGACGAGACGATTCTTTGGGGCGTTATTTTCCAGTCGGCGCATAAATCGCCGCTGCTGGCATATCCGATTGGGCCCCGGAGACATGTGGCACCATAAACAATTGGCGCCGGCCCGACATTGGGGTCACACACACACATGCATACATCTCGCGGAGCTGGCGTCCTTCTTCAAAGCAAAAGTCGCTTGGAATTGGACTGCCGCACAGTTATATGTAAAGCATTGCGAATCGTGGAACAGCATTATTCAACATAATAAAAGCTCTACATATGTTGTTTATTTTAGATGGTTTAGTCTTTTATTTGTATGATTACCCAATAAGATTACGCTAAAATCATGCCACGCATTGCAAAGAGATGCAGCACCGTGAGAACGGCCTGGTATAAAGTTTAAAATAAGCTCGAAATTAATTCTGTTACAAAAATGAATTCCTGTCATGAGAATACACTCCGGGCACTGCCCTCAGTCCATGGGTCACCGATTAGATCTGCCTCGGCCGCCGGCCAGATTAATGATCCTGTTACTTGAGCCCCCGTCTGCAGTGTGCCACCATCTCTACTGTGTGGCGGCGCCCATTTATACACCCCTCCCTCTGGGCAGTACTCCACTCACGTGTAGATGGGCGTACCGCCGGTACCGTGGTACCACAGTACCAGCCGCAGACGGTCCGACCGGGACGGGGGTGTGACGTCACAGGGCAGCTCAGCTGACTGGCCGGCCACCGCGTACTCTTGGGTCAGCTGACCTGAGGACACGCAGAAATTCGGTGATGTTATTGGCTCCAGCATGCAACGTGTTAGTTCTTGCTGACGTGTTAGCATGCTGACATCGCACTCCATGTGCGTCAAATAACACATGATGCAAAAAATAAACCTATCTTTAAGACGTCAGTGAGTGAGGTATTTTACCGTCTCTCAAGGTTAGCCATGGGCCATACTAGTTTTTCTTTATTACAGTTTCACCTTAGAGCGGGAGGCGAAGGCGATAATATTTTATCACCGTAAGCACATGCGTTGCATGATGTGTCATTTTGGAGGCGTGAATAGAATGCGTTCATTTATCAGTATCAGTATCGAACTGAAGACGCTAGGACGGTGGCGTGACCTCTTTTCTGATAAGAAATGACGATATCAGACGATGGAGGTGGAAGCTCGATGCTTGCATTCAAAGGCCTAAAACACCTTAGGTAGAAAGCCGCGCAGTAATGCAGCATAATCCAAAATCCAAAAATCAAGAAGTAAGCTGCTGCGAAAATATTTTACCTTCCTACCAGACTAAGCAGATTAGAAAAACTTCACTGCATCAGCCAGTTCCTATTTATTCGCCGCCATATTAGTTTTACAGATCGGGTTTGATTTCACGGGAGTCGCCAGGCGACTCGATGACGAGTTTGCAGCAAGTTGGTCCCACCGGCTAATTGGTGAGCTGGTGGTAAACAGCCGCGCCGGGTAAGGTAAGTCCTCAGCTATCGGAGAACCAGTCTCAAACAGGGAGGGATAGAGACGCGCTATTGATTTTACTGTATGCCTGGCCTATTCAAATACATTAGCCAGAGGGGTGTGGTAATAACTGGTGTAAGCAAATTGACCACGGTCAAAAATGCATTACCAGAATGCACTTAAGCCAACATTTTGGGATGGTCTCGTTCCTAAGTCGGCTAAGAGCTTCGGTCCAGAAAATAAATTTATCGTTGGCATACAGTAAAATACATACCAAACTCGGCCGGTGATAAATTTTCAAGACCTCAGTCCTTACTGATTTTTGAACTCGGCCTTCGGCCTCGTTCAAAAATCCAGTAAGGACCTCGGTCTTGAAAATTTATTTACACCGGCCTCGTTCAGTATTATATATCACCATTATTTGTGGATCAACGGCATCGAATGCTGCCATTGACCGTATACATAGCAAGCGCTCACTTCTGCGATAATTGTACCAGATAACACGTGAGATGATGTTTTTCGTACTCCAGCGTAGATGGGTAGCCATACGGCTTCCACGGTAGACAGTGATGACATCAGTCATCTTTTGCAAGCTCGTTAAAGAAGCTCTCAGTCCCAGCGGATAAAAACAACACCTAAGAATTACCAGATAACACGTTTTTACCATACCGTTTTTACCATCGGCACACTTTTGGCCATGTTGTAAGGCAAGAGAACTTCGCAATCAGCTGTTTCCTGCATATTGGACATAAATAAGCAGCTGGAAGCAGCACAAATGTCTCTTAGCCAGAAAATCTGCTGCTGATTCAGCATAACGTCTAATTAACCCAGCTAGAATGTCCTGCAGTGTTCATTTGAAAATGATGTCCTCAACTCTCAAGGATGGGCTGTGGAATAGCTAGTTAGATTCGCCAGCTGTTGAGTCGATAAATACTGAAAATCAGGCGGCCACAGCAGTAGTTTTCAACATAAGTATGTACTATGTAGCATAATTGTGCATGCTTTATTTCATGTATGTACGTCAAATAGTGTACGGTTGTACATACGTATATAGTTAAATGCATACAGCACAACATACGACTGATTGTGGTCCATGTTCTGTGATATTCAGGTCAACACTGATCATCTGTTTGACCTCTCTGCAGGTTCTATTTATTGCTTTGGCTGCTTTCCATTTATTCGTTGCTCGCGTCGTTTCTACTTACCAGCGTTTTGACGTCCGTATAGACCTGGGAATGAACAGAATGAAGTGAGCTACGACAAACAAACGTACCATTTATAAAGTCATCTCAGAAAGCAATGTTTTAGCTGGCATTGATAGCCGGCAGGATAGTCGGCAGGGTACGTCAAGGCAGTAGTACAAGATGTGACAAGCACAGCCTGCTCGATGAGTTTCACTGAGATTAAAAAAAGAACACTTCATGGACATGGTGCTCAACTGTATGATGTGTATCAAAACCAGCAGTACTATCACTCAGTACAGTATCACTCCAATAGCAGCAGCATCACCCAGTTTCATGTAAGTACCAATGATGCATGTCTGTTGCTCACTGCTCAGTGTTCAGCACAGGCCGGCCGCATTCACAGCATGGTGCCTTGCGGTACAGTCTAAGTACGCAGGGTGCACCGCGGCGCAGTCTAACTATTCAGGGTGCATTGCGGTGCGGTATACCAACACTACCAGCCAGCCGCCATGTCCTGTGTTCCTGGTCATAAATAAATAACTTCTAAGCATCAAAACATGTGCAATGGCGATGACTTTATCATTGGACAACTGTGGTGTTACAATGAGGCCGCTGGCGGCAATACACAGCAATGAAATCTGGATAGAAAAAAAATGCAATCTCCTGTAAGCAGAAACTACTAATAAAGAATAAACGATAAAAGTATGTTACTTACGAACTAAAATCCCATAAGCCCCGTACAACGATTAGAGAAAGAGACAGCTTAGGGCGTCACAAAGTTTATTTTCAGATCTAAGAGAGTTTCACAACAAAACCCAGACTCAGGCAGCTTTCCAGCTGAGAGGAAACATTCATTCTTGAAGTTTTTTTTTAATCGCCCAGAAGTCAAATGAGTTGTTCTTTTGTTTGTCAATTTCGCATGGAAATTCGCCAGAAACCGTCACAATGATCGTCAGGCGTCAATCATATCATTGTTGTCTTTTCAGTATAATATTCACATCTGGATCAACTTGATAAATACGACAAAAGCACAAAGATAAGTGCGTTCAAAGTTTGATGCATATGTTTTAGTATGTTGCATTTAAAGTTGTCATGCATGACTGCAATTCTCTAAAAAATTCATACTTATATACACGAACTACTTTGCTCAATCATGCTCGCGAAAAAGAAAATCACACCTAAATTGTTTTCATGAGGGACTTTGATATCATCAACGCCAGTTTTTAGCATCAACGTCAACGTAAAATAGTCATCAGGCCATACAGACTAAACGGAAAATCATGATTTACTATTCACCGCGGTACACATATACACATTACATATTATCTTGTCCACCACTTAGACAAGGTGTTGTTATGACATTGCGGCATTTGTTACAAAGTGCAAAGGCTTGGTCACGTTTTATCAGATATATCTGATGGTATGCTGCATAGTCACGACTAACTATGCGGTCTAATCTGCCAAGTCTTGTGACTTTAATCTAGCTTCGTCCCACTTTGTCTCTGCTCACGCAATCACGCCTCGTGTCGTCTATGTAATCTCGTATTGCGTTATTCCTTACCCACGTCTCATCCCTCCTCGTCCCAGCGCAGCCCGTCTCGTCTTGTCTCGTCCCGCATACAATCCTTTCAGCAGTCCTGTCGCCTCGGACGTGCCTCCGCCTGCGGCCTCTGCATATCTCAACTTTGACCGTAGGTCACCGGGCCCGCTAATGCCCTCGGCAGTGAGCTGGGCGCCTGAAAGGCGGCGCCGCGCCCCTATCTCGAACTGCACCGCCCCCGGGAAGTCAGCTCGTTCATCGCGTTTCAACGCCGCAGCCAAATTGGATGATGGAACTGTGCCGCGAGCCGGCCGAGCCCCGGCTCAATCCCGCTCAAATCTGCAGAAGAGCGCAATTCTGACAGTTGACTCGGCTTTTAAGCCAGACAAACGCTCAATCCGGGCCGACTCTCGAAGCGGGGGTGGCGTCAAATCCAAACAGCGGCGGTCTATTCAAACAGGTGGCGGCGCTCTATTCAAACCGGTGCCGCGCCCGTAACTGGGCGCCGCAGACCTCACGATTGCGTCGACTGTTCGCGGCGCTGCTACTGTGAATTGACGCTGAATAAATGCCTACAGATGAGCGAGCGCCCACATAGAATATTGTGGGTATGCGTGATGGAAGGGCCATATCCTTACAGTGAAAGTTTTCGAACTGATGACGATGATGATGGACTGATTTAAGCTTGTTTTGCTTGTGAACTTCCTAATACTTCTTCAAAGGTCTGTCAAACACTTTCTGCTCAATGGTTATGAATAAATATATAGACCTGTTCCAGTTCATTATAGCCATGCGTGGTACCGAGAACCTACACAACATTCCCATTCGCAGCCCCTTCACCTGGGCACAAATTGTGGTGTCAACTTGAGCTTTTTTTTGATGATTTGGTACACTGTCTGCGCCTCATCAACGTCGTCAGGCTGCAACATGGCCTCATTCAACAGCACACAGGCTCGTCTGCGGACATTGATCGGTGCCATTAACGTCGAGTTGGTTTGTCTCGTGGTGAACTATCGGTCGGGGAGCTGTTACGGGGCCGCTGCTCGCGGGCGCCGTGATCCAGGAGGCATCCGTCAGCGATCGATAGAATTAAATCATCTGCTGATGGACGTATCTACACTATCGGCCGAGAGATTCACACCATCGCGATGGTGTGAACTGGCATCTGCGACGGTCGTCCGCGGCCATCCATCGGGTCGTCTTGCCCAGGAGCTGGAGGTGCCAGGATCGCCACTGGAACAGATTCGAGAAGCCAGACTGCATGTTTGTCGAGCATCTTCGCGAAGATCCGTCGAACTCTTGGAGTAGTGATATCAATTACGGAAAATCGGAATACCGATACCAAACCAAATACCAACCAAAACCATGGGAAAATACCGAAACCAAACCAACTTGGGAAACTGAGGAAAATACCAACTTTTCCCCGATTTCTTAGCTTCTTATACATTAGTGAGGGCTTATGATACCAACAAAATACCAAACACATTACGATTGAAATACCAAATACCAATTTGGTATCGGTTTGGTATCGGTATACCAAAAAGTTGTTATCCGATTGACATCTCTATCCTGGAGCATCGCAGCGTCGATGCATCCTCTTCCGGTGATCAAGAACGACGTCCCGGATGACAGATCGGTCAGGCACACGTCCAGGAGGAACCGAAAGACACAAGAACTCGACACCAGCTTGCAATGCCTCGTCCGACATCAGGGGACCGGCTCCCAGCATCGCCTCCAGAAGCTCCCGACGGGTGGGGGACGTCATCTCATTGAGTGGATCTGAAACGGGAAAATCTAATTTACTGCTAAAGTAGCAAAAAGTAGCAAAACCTTTTCCTACCAAGTGAAGAGTGATGTCGTAGGTATCACATGATATGGGTTTGATTTTGTACTTTGCTGTCCTTCTGTACGATTTCATCCGATGAACAAACAACAAGCGACCGCACGACCACTGTGATTCCAACCAAAGGGAATTCTCCCAGTATTGGCTCAAAAGGGGAAACGACCACTTGGTTGGGAAGTTGCCATCCTTGGGTGACTGGAGGTACCACAAAAACTTGGAGACACGAACGTTCACTGGTGAGCACACGAGCACAACTCGTCACTTGCTGAGAAGCGGCACAAAGAGGGGAAAACCCTCACTTTTAAACGCGCACTGCTCCTGATCAGAGGGCTCGGGAACCAAACTAAAAGCATATCTCGGTTCCCCAGGAACATAACAAAAGAAAAATAACCCTGGAATAAGTAAATTCGAAAACAGCAAATATTATTTTTGATCGGGTCTTACGTGAATCTGGACCAGCGTGTGCATCGGTCGATAAATTTACGCCATCGGCCGGTAGGTGTGTGTTGTCAATCGTCAGATATACTTCATATAGACGAATAGTTATACGCTGCACCAAAACATCGCGTGGATCGTATCGTTCCTGGAATGGCAATAATAAACCAGCTTCTTGCGTCATATAAGCTGGACGCATGGATAAGAAGGTAATGGGAGGTTCAGAACTTCCGACAGACAAAAAAGAAATTACCGAGCGAACGAACTACTTCTGACAGACCATAGCTTCTCCCATCGGTACCTCAGCAGAATCAAATTACCAGATTAGTATGAGAGCTGCGACCTTCAACATCAAAGTTGGCGTTACAAAAGATGGAGTCAACTCCCGAAAAGCACTTAGCCTTCGCCTTCATACCTAAAAGCTGTGTCGTGGGCTCTTTCAACCGATCGATTGGCAACTGTTGTGTTTGTGTATAGGCCCCCCCGAGGCCCCATACTTGGACCGCCTCTGCGGCCCCACTGGGCCCGGTGCCTGTGAGCGCCCCTGCCGGCGCCAGCTGACCGTGCGCGCCAAGCGGCGTGACTGGCGCACGGGACGTGGGCTGGCGCTCGCCATACTTGTTTACGTTTTCGTGTATCTCTTTCGGCTTAACGTTTCGCAGCAAATAAATCGCTTTAATCCGTTTATATATTTCCATTTCGAACCGATAAACGACAACTAAACATGGCGCGGTCGGTTAGTGGTTATGTGTGCGGATTTTAAAGTACAGTAAACAGTAATACGTGATGAGTGACATTGATAAGCTGACCCAGCTGCTCCTGCAGCAGGCCGAGCTGTCGGCGCAGCGCGAGGAGCGTCTCGGTCAGCTCGTGGAACGGCTAGTCGCTGATCGACAGCCGCCTGCTCTTGTCGCTGGGGACGATGCACTTCCGGCGACCCGGCCCACGGCGGCCGCCCCGCCCGTGCGACTGCCGGCTGCCGCGACACCGGCGCCGCATCTGTCATCATCTACTTCGCTGCGTGACTTCGCCGTTTGGAGGGAGAAGCTGGATGGCTATATGCTTCTCACTGGCGCGTCATCACTACCCGTTACTGCCCAGCGAGCCGCTCTCCTAAGCCTCCTCGACGAGGACTGGCACCGGGTGCTGCGTTACGGCCTCAGCGTCACGGACGATTCTCCCCTCTCCGAGGTGGTGGACGCAATGGAGAGCCACCTCCGAAAACAACGCAGTGTCCTGGTGGACCGTCGAGCCTTCTACGCCCGGGTACAGGAGGAGGGCGAAAACTTTGATGAGTTTTTGTGCGATACGAAGGAACTCGCAGCGTTTTGTGACTTTTGCACGCATTGTTACGACTCACGTTTGCGTGATAAGATCGTGTGCGGCCTGCGAGATGAAGAAACAGTGAAACGGCTGTTGGAGGATCCAGAACTCGACCTCAAGAAAGCCGTAGACATCTGTCGTGCGTCGGAAAACGCCCGCGCTACCTGCTCTGACCTCCGCGCGCCGAACGCATCGCTGAACCGGCTGTCAGCGTACCGCCGGTCAAAGTCGCGTGATGCGCGCCCCGCGGCCCAACCCGGCGGGCGTTCCGCGGGTGCAGCTGGCGTGCGCCGCCCCCTGGCGCGCGATGCGCGCCCCGCGGCCCAACCTGGCGGGCGCTCCGCGGGCGCGGCCGGCGCGCGCTGCTGCCGCTGCGGGCGGGCCGCCCACGCAGATCCGGCGGCGTGCCGCGCCACTAGCGCCACCTGTAACTCGTGCGGCCAGCGCGGCCACTTTGCAGTGGTATGTGTCCAGGTGGCGCGCGAGAGCACCGTTGCCCCCGTCGAGCACGCAGCACCAGAGCCGCACATCGGCCGTCTAATACGAGACGTCTATGTACACGGCGTCTCTACACGGCCGACACCTCCCGTGTCTGTTCGACTGTCTACCGCAGCTGGTGTGTTCACCATGGCGGCCCGGGCCGACTCCGGTGCCGAGGCGACAGTCATCGGAGAAGACAGCCTGTCTTCTATCTGCGTGGAACCAGCGCAGTTGGAGCCCTGTATCGGCCAGCCCTTCTCAGCAGTGGGGAGACACCCGCTCACCTGTATCGGGTCGTTCCAGGCTGCTCTGGAGCTGGGCGACCGATCGACCACCGCCGCCGTGTTCGTCATCAAGGAGATGACTGGCCTGCTACTCAGCTGGTTCGACTGTGTGGCGCTGGGGATTCTGCCGAGGGATTTTCCGGCACAGATCCGGTCTGTCGAGGACGCACCGCGCCCCACTGATGACGTCACACCCTCTGATGACGTCACACCGTCTGCACTGCCGGCCGCTGCCGGCTCTGCTCGATGCGCCAGCGACCGCCCTACCCCGTGTGAGACGCCGCGTGACAGGCTCTGTCCGGCCACCGGGGCCGAGACGGGCGGGCCGGCGCCGCCGGCCGATGGACCCAGCCCGGCCGCCGGCCTCGGCGGCCCGCTGCCGGCCTGGAACAGCGACTCAGACCCACCGGAGGCGGTCCGGGCCGCTCATGCCGCCGCTCTGGTGCAGTGTTTCCCGCGCGTGTTCGGGCAAGATTCGACTCTCCGAGTCATGGACGGCGGCCCGATGAAGATCGAACTCCGGCCCGACGCGAGTCCGACGTCGGTCACCGCCGCGAGACCGATTCCCTTCGCCTGGCGGGCGGAGGTGAAGGCGCAGCTGGACGACCTGCTGAACCGCGGCATCATCGTACCCGTGGACTACCCGACGGAATGGTGTCATCCCATT